CGCCCGTAGTCTGCGCCTCGATGATCTTTGCATGCAAGTGCGGGGTAGAAATGAAACGTGGGTAGTAGACGCCATGCGCAGTCTTGCTGGAACTGCGTGGCTAGGTACCTGCAGGGCTCGCTAGGCCTCCCCTTAGCTGTCAACATGTTCGGGGTGACTGCTACTAGCGGGGCGTTGCTGCGCCTAGCCCCGGATTGTGTGCCCCACTTTGGGATTGACTTCGCAGGTGGAAAATCTCGTAGGGGCATGAAGGTTCTAAAAACGAGGGCCACTGGATTTGTGAAGTACTGTGCGCGGCGCAGACGACGCATGAGCTTCAACGGTAAAGATACGGCCAAAGGTCGCGTCTTTTAAACCAATTCAGAGCCAGCCCTGGTCTGCAGATGCGAGGTGGTTACCTTCACCCCCAAGCGCGTCTTTGCCCTGCGAAGGGGCAGCAACGTCGGCCAATGGCATAACTTTAAGACATTCTTCGGCCGACTTGATGCGGGCGTTGCCGGGGGGGGCGCGATCCGCTCGACGTTGCTGCCATGCCGCCCGTGCGACATGCGGAATGATGGTGGATGCTCTCAGCAAGCCTAAGTCACCACGGCCAACACAACACGTGCACGAAGACACGCCGAATGCCGATGCCCCGTCATAAATTGTCGTTGCAGCCCTGTCTCGAATTCAAGAGGCCCCTCAAAAGAGTTGGCTTGCCCACGGCAAGGGCCCCATCTCTGGCGTTATTCTGTGGCTTCAGGAGGTGGGCTGGGGACTCAAGGGTCCAACCGAGTTTGTAGATTGCAGAGGTGTGAACAACGTTCTCACCACACTCAGTCCAGCCGATGTCAAGGAGTTGTTTGTAGGCCAGCTTAAAAAAGCTGGCTCGGCAGTCCGTGCGCGAGGAATTCACGGGGGCCAGGCCAGGTTGGCCTGAACTCTTGGATCGGGGCCCCTGATGGGAGCTTCCACGCAAGGCCCTTGCTGCCTCCAAGCTGGAACTGAGTGCGCGCGAATCGGTCTTGTTTGCCAGATGTTTACCCGCTCTCGCGTCTCTCGTGTCCGCGTGCAGCTCCAGAAACGCGGAGTCAACATTGAGGTTGA